TTTAATTTCCTTTCCTTAGTAGTTACTACTCAGATTAATCAGCCCTCAACATTTGGGTGTCCATTGTGTGCTGAGCCTAATGGAGGGGGCTTGTGGAAGAATATAAACCAAACAATATCCATAGCTGCTATCACACCACTAAAAATGCATGACTCAAACAAGAGAGAGATCACTCAGGAGAAACCATCAAAGAATAATGGTATAACTCAGCATCAGCCCTATACTCATCTTCTGGCACATGCTGTCTGTTTTCATTTGTGCCAACATGAATGTGAATCTCAATACTTCTTTGAGACACTGACCTCCCTCCTCCCTTAGTCCAATCATACACAAAAGCATTAGTCAGGTATTTGGTCTTTACTGAAGATTTCATGAAGGTGGGCAGGTGGGGGTGTGTGTTTACAGCCCCATTCACTGTCTCCATTCACCAAAGGAGAATTGTCACAGTGTTCTCTACTCCCACAGCATCTTTGCCCTCGCTGACTTCTTTTTCTTTACCACCTTCCTCTTGGGAACAGCGCAAACTCCATTCCTTGTCATCAGTGCAAAAGTTAAACAATGCTCTTTTATTTATTTTTTAAGATTTGTTTATTTATTTAAAAGGCAGAGTTACAGGGAGAGGAAGACAGAAACAGAGACACAGAGAGAGAGAGTGAGGTATTCCATCCTACTGGTTCACTCCTCAAATGTTCACAATGACCAGAACTGGGTTGGTCCAAAGCCAGGAGCTTCTTCTGGGTCTCTCACATGGGTGCAGGGGCCCAAGAACTTGGACCATCTTCTGCTGCTTTCCCATACTATTAGCGGGGAGCTTGATCAGAAGTAGAGCAGCTGAGACACAAACCAGCACCCATATGGGATGCTGGCATTGCAGGCAGCAACTTTACCCACTATGCCACAACACTGGCCCCTAAGCAACTCTCTTGAATATGTCAATTGGGCCTTACCTTTCTCCTTAAGTAGCTTATCAAAGCATTTATCTAAAACAAATACTGCCAGCACCACGGCTCAATAGGCTAATCCCCCACCTAGCAGCGCCGGCACACCGGGTTCTAGTCCCAGTCGGGGCGCCAGATTCTTTCCTGGTTGCCCCTCTTCCAGGCCAGCTCTCTGCTGTGGCCCGGGAAGGCAGTGGAGGATGGCCCAAGTGCTTGGGCCCTGCACCCACATGGGAGACCAGGAGAAGCACCTGGCTCCTGCCTTCGGATCAGCGCGGTGCACCAGCTGCAGCGCGCCAGCCGTGGTGGCCATTGGAGGGTGAACCAACGGTAAAGGAAGACCTTTCTCTCTGTCTCTCTCTCTTTCACTATCCACTCTGCCTGTCAAAAATAAAATAAAATAAAATAAAACAAATATTGTGCTAGAAAAATGCAAGTTGATAAAATTATCTCCATCTCTTAATACATACACTATCTTATTTAATTCTAACTATCTTTGTGAAGTAACTATTATTATACTAGTTTTATAGATGAGGGAAGGAACTGAAACTCAGGCAAGTTAGGGAACCACTCCCATGTATGAGCTCTACCTTGTATATTTGTTGTCAATATGACATATTAAGCACTCACCTCAGTGCAAGTCACAGAAGCACTCATGGCAGCCTTCCCAAGCAGCTGAAATAGCAGAAGTAGACATAATACTAGCAGCACCTTGTCCTATCTGGCTTGCATGGATATCACAATGAATGGTGACACAGGACTGGCTCTGTAGTTTGCAAGGACCAGTGTACAATGGAAATGGGAGGCCTTGTCCAATGCAGGGAAATCGTCTTCCCTTCCCAGACTCTCCACCGGACCCTATAGCAGATGAGTGCTGTAATCTCTAGGCCAGATGTGCTTGGTACTTAGGTCAGTGGGGCATGAGAGGCCCTTGCCAAATCACCCCCCACTTCCCTCATGTTGCCCATCAAACAAACCATGATGTTGATGTTAAAGGCAAGGATAGCTGCTGCCTTGCCTACTCTAAGAAGCCTTGTTGGGGGAGGGGTGACTCTACATGCCAAGATCCCCTAAACACTAGGGGAGGAGGAAGGGCAAGAACTGACCACAGGCTGGCCTCTTCACTGCACCTAGTGCTACTTGATTGCTGCCCAGGCAAAGGGTAGCAGTGGCTGTTGGGTGAGCCAGAAAAGGGAGGTCGTGCAGGACCCTGGGCAGCACGAAGGAAGCTGGCAACCAAAACTCATCCCAGTACATGCTCAGTAGTTCCATTAGACTTCATGTAGGGAACATAGATTCAAAGTTAAAAGTATTTATAATTATAGAACTAGCAGTACAGAACATTGACCCAAACACAGGGCCATCCTAAGATCCAGGCCCTGTGAGATAACACCGGTTGCATGTCCAGTATTGATCAATGATGAATGTGCAAGTGAGAGATGTTAGCCAAATGGTATGAATATGCAGTTATGAGTACATTGTGAGGGTGTAATTATACAGCATGGTGGCTATAGTTAATAATCACATATTGAATACTTGAAATACACTGAGAGTTAATCTTAAGTATTCTCATCCCCCCACCCCCACACACACACCTTCAAAGTAACTCTGAGGTAATTGATATATTAATTAACTTGATTGTGGAAATAATCTCACAATTCATATCAAAACATCATGTCGTATATTTGAATATATACAAGTTTTATTTGTCAATTATACCTCAACAAAGCTAAAAGAAATTCTTAGAGAGCAAGGGATATGTAAGTGCTTCAAAAACTTTTTATATAATATATAATTTAAATATATAATATATAAAGCATTATTGCTCTATATAATTAGCATTATATAATACAAGGCTCTAGCAATTCTATTGGGCATATACTAAGTAGACCCAGATTTTAAACAATGCAAAGCTCTGATAGTTTTGTTTTAGTCCCCAGGGAAGAAAATTGTTCCCAGCTCCTTCCACTGACATGATCCTGCATTCAGAATAATAGGGGGATCCAGTCTTAAGGAACCATTCCTGCTCTTTAAATGAATCTCTTTGTAAAAGACTTGACAAAGCAGAGACAGTGGCTCCTCCCAAGATCAGAATAGTGGACCCTCTCTTCTAAACTGGAGAGACTCCTGCCCTGGAGTTTCCAGCATTATCCATTCCCTTCAATCCCAGCTCCCCAGAAACATAGAAGTTTCTGTTACATTGACTCAAACCTCAAATCCAAGGATGTCCTGGTGCCTTGGGTCACTTCTCAATCCTGCAGGTCCCAGCCTGCTGTCCCCAGCCCCTCACACCTTAGAGGTAGATTTGATTACACACCTTTCAATAGAGCAGATCTTCAAGGGGCACTTTTTATATTATAAGAGCAATGAAGCAATTATTAAACTGCTTCTTGGTCTACATTGTAACTGGAGAAAGCAGCTGAGAGAAAAGGCAAATTAGACCTTCCCACCCTCCGTACCCACTAGGAACCCTTTTAGAGCAAATCAGTTATGTACTCAAGGATAACTTAATGTCCTGGAAGAGTTGATGTGGCTTCCCATGTTATTTCTACCCAGAGAGTCATTTCTGCCCTAGCAGCTCATGCTATCCTAGATCCTGACACCATGTAACACTGGAAGATTGAGTGAATTTTCATGGCACTGCACTATGGATTCCACCCTAATGTTCAGTAGAAGGGAATTGGGTTAGCAGTTCTTGAGGCTCAACCCCTACCCCTCAGCCCCCAGTCAGAAACTCCAGACATCTATGTTCCTTTTGTCCTTGGGATCCTTCTCTTGTGAGCCAATGAGATTGAAAGAGACACTGCCACAACCATCAAGCTGGGAGCCTCACTTCCAGGGAAAGAACACCTTAGGGGAAAGCTGTTATCATCACTGTTCCAACAGAGCCCAGTTTCAGAACAGCTTGCCCAGTGTAGCAGCAGTAGGGTCATGATGAAAACACACAATGCTTGAAGGTAGGAATTTGTTGTTCCAGTCCTAGTTCAACATTCAGCTTCCAAACTGTGTGACCTTGAGCAAGTCAGGGAATCTCCTGAGCTTTTGCTTCCTCATCTATAAAACAGAAGCTATCTTAGTAGTATCAACCTTCTGGGTGGCTGCTTCAAGGATTACTTGAACTATTGTGTGTGTATATATTTTTTCAACTAGAAAATAACTTATGCATTAGTTCCCCCTTATCAGCAGATTTGCTTTCCATGGTTTATTACCTATGGTCAACCACAGTCTGAAAATATTAAATGAAAAATCCCAGAAATAAACAACTCATAAGTTTTAAATAACTTTTATTACAGTCTGTTGTTATAATTATTCTGCTTTGTTTTTATTTATTAGTAGTGTCTTACTGTACCTAATTTTTACATTAAACTTTATTTTAAGTATGTGTATGTAGGGAAAAATAGAGTATTTATAGGGTTCAGTGCCATCTGTAGTTTCAGTCACTCATGAAGGGTCTTGGAATGTATCTCCTCAGATAAGAGGGCACTGCTAAAACTGCTGATTACTTGAAGGAGATGGCAGAGTACAATGAAGAAATCATGTATCTCAGAGTCATACATCCTAGATTTAGTTCTACTGCTGTTTAACCTTAGAAAATTACTTAGCTTCTCAGAGCCTCCATGTTTTCTTCATCTGCCAAAAAAAAATTATAAAATAATAATAATGACCTCAGTGGGTTGTTGAAGTAATACACATAAAGACCCTGAAAGCCAGCAGTACACAAGAAAGATGTTCCCTAATGTTAGGTTATTTTTTTTTTGACAGGCAGAGTGGACAGTGAGAGAGAGAGACAGAGAGAAAGGTCTTCCTTTGCCGTTGGTTCACCCTCCAATGGCCGCCGCGGCCGGCGCGCTGCAGCCAGTGCACCACGCTGATCCGATGGCAGGAGCCAGGAGCCAGGTGCTTTTCCTGGTCTCCCATGGGGTGCAGGGTAATGTTAGGTTATTTTGAGAATTAAATGAAATAAACTTTGTACGCATTAGCCTCCATAATACTTGGCCTCTAGTGGGTACAAAATAAATGGTAGCCACACAAAATTTTCAGAAATGTTCTCTTTGTGTAAAAAACAATTTGTAGTAATAGAAGCTCCAGTGATGGGGTAGACTTCTTCAGTTGGTAATGGGTTCTCTACCATAGGACGCATCTCAGCCTTGGTACAGTGACTCTTTCATTAGAGGTTGTGGTGACCAAACATCAGATGGGTTTACTTCTGAGTAAGTTAAAACAGTTTCAGTTACAAGGACCAGAAACCAACTCAAAATGAGGCAAAATACAAAACTTATTGATCACATTAAGGATAAAAGTCCAAAAGTTGCAGAGCCTCAAAGGCCATCACTGGAATCCCACAATCCCTCACTCCACATACCCTCTGCTTTGCTCTCCTCTGCTTGGACTCACTTTGGGGAAGACCCTCTCCACCGGATGGCCCTTTGCAACTCCAAGAATTAATCTCAGCATCCTAGCAATGCTAGGCTCATACACTCAGAAATCCCAATGAAAGCAGTGTTCCTCTTTCCTAGTAGTTTCAGTAGTGTCCTGGTCTTTACCCTTAACCCTAACCTCCATCCCAGATGAATCACTCTGGTTGTGAGTGGGATGCTTTGATTGGCCAGGGGATCCTGAGTTCACTCCACAGTCAACTCTTCCTCAATTATCTAGGATTTTATGGCTAAGAGTTATGGATATCGGTCCTCAATGAAAAATCAGACTATTGGTAACAGAAGATCTGGAACTGAGTGTTAAGCAAGAAAAATCAATGATACTTTCCTATCTTATGACTCAAATATTCCAGCCCCAAGTTATTTTTTAACATTTGTTATATAATTCTTTTTCCCTTTGTCCTTCTAGAATATTTCCACATCCTTAATGTGCATTCCTGGAGAATTATCATAATGATGTACATAATCACCACCAAATGATAGACTATCGTTTCCTCCCTCAAAATCCTATGGAGAGAAAAATTAACTCTTTTCTTGTGAGTCTATAATATAAACAGTCTCCGTCTGCTCCCAGGTGCCTGGGGCTCCTCCTGGCTTACACAGCTGATAAGCACCCTCAAATATAATGCAGGAATGATTTTTTCTATTTAGTTCTGTTGTTCAGTTGGAGTAGTCTCTTGGTTCTGAAGGTTTATGAATCAATACTAGGGTGAACTTAATTCTCTGGGTGAGTAATTATTGTGCTCTAAGCACTGCACCAGATTTTCATTGGAGTGCACTCATTTAATGCTTAAACAACATCTTTAAAGATCAATTACTCCTATTTTATAGATGCCCAAACTGAGTATAGTAAGGTTAAACAACTTGTTAAAGATCTACCACCAGTAAATGATAGAGCTGGACTTGAACTTTTCTATACATTATGCTACCTCCTTGAAGACTCCAGGCATGAGTCTCCAGGATGCTTTAAATTGTGTTTTCCTGAATCAAAACTCAGATCTATAACCTCAGTTATTTAAAGAAGGCCATCCTGGGATATTTGGGTTGTACAGCTACTTAGGGAAACACACTTTCAGATCAGATTACTGGAGCCTTCTCCTCTCATGGCTAACCCTGTGAGTGTTGAGCACAGCTGCTCTGTTGGTTAAAGATGTTGTTAGAAGAATGATGTACTTACCACCCGCACTGTGCAGCTGAAACTGACTCTCAGGGGCCAGTTGTAAGCAAAGGCTGCAAGCTAAAGTCTTAGCTGTGGCTCAGTGGAGCTCTACGTAGCTCAGGCTCTGAATGTACTTAACATCCAAAAGAAGTCCCTAGGTCTCAATTCAGAAGACTGGGGCAGAACATTTCTGGCAGATGGGTCTCAGTGTTTGCATTCATTCCCCCCGGATCCCAAGCCTGCTTGCCTTCAGGAAAAAAGCACAAGTCCCTTCTGCTCACTTTGCATTGTGTTGGCTTGGTAGTCAGAGTTGTAAATATGCCCATGGTTAAAAGACAGTATGTAAGTTGTTTCAAATTTGCCATCCAAACAAAGGGATTTTTCCACATCAAAAACTATTCTGATAGGCAATAAAAATAATAAAATCTATGTATGCTGTGAGTTAGTCTGCACCTTATTTATCTCAGTAATGACAAGCAGGCCCTGAGAACAATGAAGAACCATGATGCTTCTTTGTCTTGGAATGCATTGATCCTGTTGCTTCCTCATCCCACAGTTTGTCTCTCTCTTTCTCTCTCCATCTCTCATTTCTCATTCACTGTTTCAACAAGTAGTGCTTTTTTTTCAAAATTAAAAGCCCTACTGTGTATATATTGGAAGGTAAAAACTCTACAATATTATTATAGTCCATATTTATTGTGTCCCTAACTCTATAATAGATTAGTTTTGAAATATCTTTCTATCAGAAATTTATACACATGGCAGAAAAATATTGATTTGGGGGTAAAGTTTTCTGAAACTTCTATCCTTGCCCTTTGGGCCATGTTTCACCCCGGTGTGGGCACTGTCCGGATTCTGACCTCACACCTTCTCTTACATGATTCTATATGGAGCCTAGCTGATGATATTTGTCTCAGGCCTATGAGCTCCAGGGAGACAACTGATAGAAAATTTGTATCTCTTGCTTCCACCTTTCTCCTGAGCACAAGAGTTATATTCTATCTTCTTTCTGTTTTCCTCCTTGGAGAGCAACTAAAATTTAACTTCTTCCACACTTGCTTTCACTTCTTCAATAAATACTTATCTAATGCCTATTTGGGGTTAGAAGATGAATATAAATAGAGGATCAGATAGTCAAAGACCTTGGCTCCATACTATCTGCTGGGGAGATTTATAACTAAAGGGTGATTACTAAACATGATACATTCAATATCAGGAGAAGTAAAGTTTCTGTGACAGCAAAAGTGTATGGCCCAGACCAGTGCAGGACAAGAGGAATATATGAATTTTCCTGGAGTGACACATTAGTTGAAATCCATAAGAATAAATTTAGGGGCCAGTGCTGTGGCATAATGGGTAAAGCCACCGCCTGCAGTACCAGCATCCCATATGGGCACCAGTTCGAGACCCAGCTGCTCCACTTCTGATCCAGCTCCCTGCTGTGGCCTGATGAAGCAGTAGAAGATGGCCCAAGTCTTTGGGCCCCTGTGCCCATGTGGGAGACCCAGAAGAAGCTCCTGGCTCTTCACTTCAGATGGTTGCAGCTCCTGCTGTTGTGGCCATTTGGGGAGTGAACCAGCAGATGGAAGACCCCTCTTTTTCTTTCTCTGCCTCTGTGTCTACCTCTCTGTAGCTCTACCTTTCAAATAAATAAATCTTTTTAAAAAAGAATTGAACTTAGCCAGAGAAAGAGTTCCATGTTAGAATTCATCAGTTAATTACCTATTCCTCAGAAACTAACTGAACGTGTGACATCATAGGCTTTCCATTACAAGGAAAAGTACTTTAATATCATTAACTTTTTAAAAATCACTAATGTGATATAAGGTATTATGGGACAGCTCTCTGTAGTGAATACTCTGTGTATGTGTGTGTGTGTATGCATGTACATTTGTAAGATGGACTCTTAAGTTACAAGGGCTTTAATATAAAGCCAAAAGTTTTACCTGCTTTCTCTCTCAGCTCATTACCTTTAATTCTTATTTGTATCTTAGATTTCCTGGTACTTGTTTACCTAATTTTCTAGCCTTAAGTTTTCTAAGTTTGGCATTATAATTCTCAAGGACAGAGGCAGCTTCTATATAAGTAGGTTTGTATCACAACTGCTTTTAAATATTTTAAAGTATTTTCCCCTGTTTGAAAATTCTAAAAACAAACTGAAAAACCTAAGGTATGATAATGTAGAATACTAGGATAAGCTAACATTGAAATAAGAAAGATATTTTACTTTAATACTCTTAAATACAGGTAGTTCCTTTCTCCAAGAATCTCTAGGCAGTTCCCTCAAATATATAATTTTAGTTGGCTTCAGACCAAGTCACAAATGAATTTGTATTACATAAAGGAATTCCGTGGTTGATCCATGAAAACTGATCTACCTAGTTTCTGGTGTTAAATTCATGAGTCTATTGTTGTTCATTATCTGCCTAATCTAGGAAACTGTCCTCTAACTAGGATTGCACAATTCCCCTGAACAGCTCTGGATGGAATAATTGACCCTGTTGGCAGCTTTCCCTTGTTGTCCTGGAAAATTTGCTAAAATATTAAATCCCTTGCTGGTTGGGATCACTATCATTGAAAATAATAGGTATCTTTTTCTTTTCTATTGGTGAATTCTCAGATGTTTTTTATCAGTGTATACCTCAGTTCTGTGAATGTGAGAGATCTTGAGTAAGGTTTTTTTTTTTAACTTAGCTAACATTTTTAGAGTAGCTATTATGTGCCAGATACTATAGGTAATGGTTTATATGGGTATCAGTTAGAGGTCAGTTAAAGAAGCAGAGCCAGGAGGGGACATACACCAAGAGAGTTATTGCAAGGACTTGTCTTATGTGCTTGAGGACTAACAAGAAAAGTCTGAAATCTGTAGAGCAGGCCATCAGGAAGCGCAGCCTGGTTACTCTTGGGAGTGGCCTGAAACTGCTGTCCCCAGGTGAAATTTCTTCTTCAGGGAAGCCTCAGTTCTGCTCTTCAGGTCTTTTAGTTGATTTTATCAAATAAGATAGAATAATCTGCTGTAGTTTGTCAACTGATTATGGACTTTAATCACATCTACAAAATACCGTCATAGCAATACCTAGATTAGTGTCTTACTGAATAACTGTGACTTCAAACCAGCCAAGTTGGCATAACAAGGAGACCACCACATCTGTGTAACCTCCTTTCCCTCCTAACCACAACTGTGAAATAGCTTCTATTTTATCAATCCATTGTACAAATTGGAATGGTGAGGGTAAAAAAAAGTTTAGTGATTTATTCATGATCACAAAACTATTAAGTGGTATACCCAAGACTTGAACTGACAAGGTATAATTCCGAAGTAAGGAGCTTAACTATTGTATTATACTACCACCAAACAAGTGAATAAATTATTTAAATTCTGTTCCTCTAAATCTGTACAGAAGATCTTATATCAGTGTTTTACACAACTCCTAGAAAAGTTACTACCATCCTCAGATTTGTAAGACTAAAATATTTGACACATTTCTTGTTTTATTTATTTATTTGACAGATAGAGTTAGACAGTGAGAGAGAGACAGAGAGAAAGGTCTTCCTTCCATTGGTTCACCCCCCCAAATGGCCACCACAGCCAGCGCTGCGCTGATCCAAAGCCAGGAGCCAGGTGCTTCCTCCTGGTCTCCCATGCGGGTGCAGGGGCCCAAGCACTTGAGCCATCCTCCACTGCACTCCTGGGCCACAGCAGAGAGCTGGACTGGAAGACTAGAACCTTGCACCCATATGGGATGCTGGCGCCACAGACAGAGGATTAACCAAGTGAGCCATGGCACCAGCCTGTATAATCCTTAATAAAGGAAGAATATGAGAAACTGGAGAGCCTCAAATGTTAAATGGTCTTAAATTATAATTTTGGTTGATATGGTTGTGTTCTTGATGACCTGGAATGGAATGAATACTTTGCTCCTTAGGCAGAGGTTGGAAACTAGTACCATAGGAGATTTTTCTAAATTGTCTCATTTTGCAAGGAACAATGCATTACTTAAGTAACCAAAGTATTAAAAATAAGCTGTAGATACACTACAAGTAAAGGAACATGAGACTTTGTAATATCAGTATGTCAAGTGGCATAAATTGGAACTTAGCTGATTTTTTAGCAAAAAATAAAATGACAAGGTAAAAATAATTCTGACACTGAATATCCTGAAGTACCACAGCACCATGGCAAATACCTCAACAAGTAACAAGGATTCAGGGTTTTGCTCCTGCCTCCAATGAAAGCAAGCTTCAATTAGAGGCAAGTAACAGCCTCCCTATGCATCAATTTCCTTTTCTAGAATGTGAAATCGTTTTAGAAGATGATCTGCTATATCCTTAATGTTGTTCTAGAACATAAAAATATCTAAAATTTCAACAATCAGTAGAAGTTATTCGGTTACTTAAGTAATGCCAAACACTGTCATTATTCTGTGAATTATTACGACCTTGATTTGTGTTTTTAACATGCACACCTGGAAGGTATCACCAAAATTTTTTTAGGGCCATGTTGAAGTCAATGTCCAGGACTTTTGTACTTTGTGTGTGACCTGATTGTGCTGAATGGGGCCTTGTGCTAGCCACCATGGACAGCAACCTCCAAGCTAGCCACCATGGACAGCAACCTCCACACTAGCCACCGTGGACAGCGGCCTCCATCTCTGCTCCTTTGTACAAAAGCTAGCCACCATGGACAGCAGCCTCCAAGCTAGCCACCATGGACAGCGGCCTACATCTCTGCTCTCTTTGTACAGAGAATTCTCCAACATTCTCTAGAGACAGTGCAGGTACAAATTGGCCTGTAGATCTTCAATGACTCTAGAATGCAGAGGACCTGAAACAATGGAAAAGTGATAGAAAACCTTCTTTCCAAACAGTTTGTAGTCCATTGTTTACAAACAACATTGCTTTGAAATTGCCCAATATGGTCTCCAGAGAATAATATCCACAAGAGAGTGATGCCCTGGCAAATCAAATTCTTCATTTCCACAGCTGAAGAAATCAAAGAAACACATGTTTTTACCCTATATTACATGTTGCAGGATGAGAAATGGTCTGACTTCCAAACCCATTGAAAGTTTGCTAATCTCAAGAATAGAGATATCCAGACATGTCCCTGTCGAAGTATCAGGTCTTGTTCATTAAAGAGTAGGTCAGTCAAGAAGGCGGGTGGTGTTCAATCTGTTTCTTTCTATAAATGCCAGATGTACAATAAAAGGCTTTATGACTTCACTGTGTAAGTGGGAACTAGTTGCCCCATGTGAACATGGTTAAATGTTCATACTGCAGAGACTGATGGTGCTGGCTCTGCCACTTGATAGCAGAGGGGCTTCAGTTATCCTATGAGCCTGAACATTACAAAAGCAGACAGTGACATGAGGGCAGTCAAAACAGTGGACATTTAGAACTTATTGTTTAAGGAAGAAAATGTCCCCAAACTACTTACTAGTTGCATTCTTTCTAAGCCTTTTCATCAGCAAAGTGAGGGTTATGATGAAACCTACTTCACAGAGTTGTGCGAGTTAAATGAGATAAGGCACAGGCACCTGGCAAATCATTAGGTATTAAATAAATGTTACCTTCTATACAAATTTGACCTACCGTTAATTTGTCATTAATCAAAAATAGTTGTGTGATTTGGTTTAAGGAAAATACATGAATACTCTTAAACTCAGTGTACCCTGGACAATTAGGGTGATACTTAGTAAAGTTTGAAGCTCACCTTAATCTTATATACTTACTTAAGTACCTTCATTACAAACCCTTTGCGTATTACCTTGTTTTAGAACGTTGGTTATTCTCTGTAGGAATCTCTAGTTCTTACTGGAGACTAAGTGAGCAGCTTACACTTTTGGATGGAGCTGAGACCCTAAGGAACTGAAGCTATGGCCAGCCAGATAGGCTATGTAAGTCCCAAAATGGAAACATTGAGGTTGGGGGGGAAAGGAGGGGGAGGGGTGGAGAAAAGCCTTGATACTTAAAGTCAGGCGTACTTAATTTAATTTAATTGGCATAATTTTGAAAAAAAAAAAAAAACTTTGCCAAAGTGAATTCCTACAACAGTAGGTTGCAGTACAGCGGTGACTGTGGTGGGCACGAATGGGAGATATGTGAACCTTACCTAAATCTTAGTTGAAATCTCATCCGTGGCCCTCCAAGTCTACAGGAGGCGGATCAAACCCCTTTGGGAACAGCTGGAACGAATGCAAGTCTCCCAGGATAGGAGCCCTGGCCCATACAAGCTCAGCACTGCTCTGGCTTCCCCTGCGTCCTAAACACCAGGCAGCTAAGGTAGAGGGGGGAACCCAACGTGGCCTCTGCGGTAGATAAGGACCTGCCTTCTCCTCCTCCCCCTCTCCCCAGTGAGGGAGACAGCAGTGAGAGCCGCCGAGCCCATCACCTGGGGGCCTGCGGAGCCACCTGGGCTGCTACCGCCCCAGCGGGCGGCCTCTCGGAACGCGAGCAGGGGGCGGCGGAGCAGCGAGATATCCATAGTAACGGAGCATGCCACGGGCGCCAAGCGGCAGCGAGAGCCGGAGGAGGAGGCCCCCGCGCACCCGCAGCGCGCCGTGCAAGGCGCCCTGCAACCCCCGCGCGCCGCGCGCACCCCACGTCGCTCCCAGCAGTTAGGGTCCGACCGAGTGGTAAGCCCTCCCAGGCAACAAGCCGACACTTCCCACCCGCCCGGCCGCCCACGGCGGGGAGCAGCCGCGGAACAATGGAGAGCGCCGCCAGCTGCCGTGGAGACGGCGCTCGGGGGAGGACGCGCCGCCGCCGCCAGGGCTGGCGCGCGCCGCGTGGGGCCGGGCGCGTGCGAGGGCGCGCGGCGGGGGGTGGGGGCGCGCGGCGCGCAGGGGGCGGGGCGGGGGTGGAGGGCGCGCGCGCGGGCCCCGGGAGCTCGCGGGGAGAGCCCGGCGCTCGGCGCAGCGCAGCGCGGCGCGGCGCGGCCAGGCTCGCGCGGCGCCTCTCCCGCCCATCCTTGGCGCGCTCGCCCTCGCCTCGCCTCGCCGCTCGCGTTCGCTGGGGGCGCCCAGAAAGATGCCCAGAGGTAACGGCTGAGCATCCAGCCACATGTCCGCGTCCTCGGGGGCCGGAGCCCGCCAGCCCTCGCGGATCCCGGCTCGCGGCCAGCCCGCGGCCGCTGCCGTCGCTAGTGCCGAGCAGCTCCGGTGAGTAGCAGGGCGGCGCGGGGCACAGCTTCCCCGCGCTCGCCAGCCCCCGCTCGCCAAGATGCGGCTCTGAGAAGTGGTGCTGCAGCTGGGGCAGAGAAGGAAGGCGAGGGGGAGATCGGGGAGGCTGCGGGAACAGGGCGCATTTGTTGCAGCCTCGGTTAATGATCTCCACTGTGTGGGCTTTAAAAAAACAAAAAACCTGTTTTTGTTATTGATTTCCCCTCCGCCGTTCTAGTCTGGGCGCATTTTCCATCTCCCCACTGGGTTTCCAAGGAGTTTGAATTCCTAAATTGCCGGGTGTCTTTCCAAATGGTTTGACTTTCACAAGTCTGTGTTTTCCAAAGGTCATTTGTCGTCAGTATTTAAAAAAGCCACGCCACCCCGTATAATTTGCAGGTGCGCTTGGAATCACCTTTAAGGAGTAGCAGGAAGAACAGACGCTGGGAGGCTGGTGTTGAGTGTGCTCGCGCTCGCTCGCCCTCTCCCTCTCTCCCTCCTCGCCTCAGATTCTTTACACGTTGATTAATCAGAGGGGAAGTGGCCATGGACTTCACGGTGCTACGCCTTAGAGAGCAGTAATAGAGTCGCGGAGGCTGCAATTCGCCGCTCTCCCGAAGGACGGGTCCGCATTTCCACTGACAGCCCCATTTCAGTGCTTGTAACTTGGATGTAATTTTACTCCAGGCTAAAACTTGCCGGAGCCAAACAAGGGCTCGTTCTTTTGATAAAGAAGCCACCACTGCTGCTTTATTAATTTATAAAAATCAGACCCTCCCCCGCTAAAACCCCCAGGCAGACTCAGGAAGGCTTTGGCTTTCCAGAGATTGGCCGGGAAGGCTACTCTTCGCCGCAGTTACCGTTGCTCCTCCCTGAGCGACGGAGACGTTAGTTGGAGAAGACTGGAAATTCAGTTCCGGTGCTGCCTGTGTGCACCTTGCATGCTGTCTCAGTAGATCGCAGGCACGTCAACTGTGGGGTCTCTAAGTGTTCGTAAACACTAGGATGCTTGCTCTGTGGACCCCTGCGTGTGGAAAGGCAGGCTGGAGAAAAACAAGTGTTGGAAAGGCAACACGAGGCATTTAGGAACAGAGTAAGACTTTTCTGAACGTTGGCGCGAGTTAGCAAGGGAGTGTGATTGTCTTTCTCTGGGAGCCGTTACAATAGAGCAGTTTCACCGCCAAGTTCTGAGGGGCCAGGGAGAGAGCAGGCGTTAGAAAACCCGCAGAGGTTCCCTCCAAACCTGTGTTGTCTGTGCTCAGCAGATGAGCTTGTGCAGGGATGCCGGTGGTGCCTGGGCTGAGTCCATAGTGTTGACGGCTCTGTGACAAAATAGGCTGCAATGACTGGTGCTGGCATTATGCCACCACGAAGGCTTCAGAAGTGAACCGGTCCGGGGGTGGCCGTCCCAGGAGCACTTGGAGCGATGGCAGTGATCTCTTGGACTGGGATGGAGAAGGGAGGAACCAACACAGATGAAATTGAAACATTCCTGCTACCTGGGAGACTTAGCTGTGCGGTCAAGCAAAAACATTGTTACAAAGATTAAAAAAAAAAAAAAAAAAAACCCCACCTTCAGAATACCTGGGGCCAGGGATGTGATGTTGGAAAAGGAAGTGAGAATCATTGCTTCAAGGATGGGAACTTTGTCCTGCAGTTGCTAATTGCCAAACTTAATGTTACTGCACTGGAGTTGCTTTGCTTGGTGTACTTTCGCACTTGTAGTAGAAGCACTATTTTTTTTTTATCAGAATTAGTAGAGTCACAGATTTGTATATCAGAAATGAGAGACCCACATATTGTTACATTCCCCCAAAGGGGACCAGAGAAAAAGAACAGTGTTTTGCCTTTATTCATAGATCAAATCTCCATTGAAATAATTCTGAAATACAAGTACAGCATAATACAACATTTAGTAAGATATCTGGGAGAAGTGCTTTAAAAAAATATGCGCATTCATTTGTTAGCAATTTAAAATGATAATCTCTGAAGAATTACAGTCTAAAAGTTTTCAGGCTTACTCAAGTTTGTATACATGAATTTAATTCTGATATATTTCTTATTTATGAATTTACTGCCTGTGCTACCTTGGATCAGGAATGTTAGAAAACCACTTTACTTAAAATAGTGGTATTTGTTTAGTTACACTAAATATTCTAAATAGGGTATGAACTAACAGACAGTACATTGTACAGGAAAGGTATTCCTCATAGTCATTTATGATGTTATTCTATTTTAAATGTTGGCAGATGTTTCCAGGTTATTGTCAAGTTATTCTCTCTGTACCATTCATTGAATAAGCATTTTTGACCACCATGTGTGTTGAAGCAGGTTTATCCTTTCTCTAAATGGAAGGCAGACATGTTCTCCAGATATTGCACTGAGATAAATGTTTTGGCATTGTCGCTGTTTACAGCACTGGCACAGGCTGTGGAGACACCAGGTAGAGTTTATTGATATCCTCATTTCTGACCAGATGCTGTTGTCAATGTATGTCACAGTCCTTTCCATCAAGCCAGTAAATTTCCTGGCAGGAATGAGAAATTAACAAAAGTAATTAGAAGATCTGACTGATCGAATTAATGATCATAAGTAAAACACATGTATTTACTTAGATATGTTTTCACACATTTTGGATTTTTTGTAGCAGTATCTCAGACTTAGCTAGCATTTACAAGTGCCAATATCAGTAATCAAAGCTTGAGGTCTTCTGTAGGCCATCAGTAATTAACAGAAGTATGAGCAGAATCCACCTTTAACACTTAGCTCCCTGTACTTCCTTGTCAGGCAGTAGCCAATAGCAAAGCATAAATGTTTGCTTTTAAATTTAATAACAGTGTGTATCAATGAACATTGAAAAGATGTTTGCATATTTCTTTTAGTGAACAATTAACTGTGATGCTTCACTCTTTAATTAATATTTGGTTTCTTTAATTGTTTTCAATGTAGAACATTGTCCATATATTTAATAATTTGCTAGAGAAAGAACATTCACATGAGTGCGTTTATCTTCCCACATAACTGTCAATAATGCATTGTTCTACAGATCTATTTTTATGTGGATGTGCTTTTCATGTAAAAATTAACCTTTCTTATAATTTTGTGAGATGAAAACCATTCCTGTTCATATGATTTTGCTTTCTTTTCATGGAATCATGAGGTGATTTTTTTAGAAGTCAAAATATGATTCAGCTGAGTCATTTTTTCTCCTTTAAAAGATTGTGAGAGTATACTGCTAAGATAAAAATCCAGAATTAATTCTCTAAAAATCTTGCTATGTTTGACCAGTCTGTCTCAGTTCTGGTATTTACAGAGCAAAGACTGACTGGTAGTTTTCTGATGTGGGAATAGGAAGAAATGCAGAGAGGATATCAAAACGGATCTTGAACTGGAAGAAGCAAAAGTATGTGTTTTGATCCTGTTACTTAATCCTTTCTAATGCATTCTTTTTTTAAAGATGAATCTCAGAACAGGGTTAAATAAATTAATTTTATGGGTACATCTCTTTGAGGCTTGAATTTACTGTAACTAGAATGAAACTACTACCCTCAGAGGATGAACCACAAGAACATGCTCTGGAAAATCAATGACTGCATTGAGATTTCCTAGATAACCAGGCTGGCCCTGCAGGGCACCCCTGTGACCACAGACAGTAGTCTCTGAGATGCATGGGAAGTCTTTGTTGGAATCATTGGCTGCCCCTGGAACTACTTGATTGTATGCTTGGATGGTACTTGGTTCTGTGGCTCTAGTACTGGTGGGCAGGGCTATGTTTTGTGACCACTTTATAACCAAGACTTCCTTAGCAAGAGGAATTTATACTTTAAGAAAAATTTGATGACCTTGTCATTTTTAAGGCATATTTCCATTAGAATAACTTTTCATAACAGTAATTTGTATGATCTGGTTTTGGTTTCAAGGATGACTTGCATGTAGTTGTAACTGCAACAGGTGGTATGTTTTGTGTTCTGTAACGTGCATAAAATTCTCATTTCCCTATTTTTAGAAATCAAAACCGTGTTGTTATTTTCCTAGAAATACAGAATATGACTGTAAAGAATGAGCTGCTCTCTTTATCCCAGTGATTCATTTCTCTAGAAAAGACTTGCAGGCTGTGTGCTGTGTCTTTGGCTCTTAATATATCTATATATGTATTTTTGTTGTGTTAACTGTCAACTTATTAAAAATAATTGATTCAAATTGTTTTCCCACACTATAGCTTTCTCTCCAGAATGGAAGGTCTGGCGTTGCCTCCTCAAGATCTC